GAACGTCCAAAATTTGCACATGTCAACTATTCCCATCAAAATTAAATATTTCAAAATTGGGCATCGCATTTATTAAAAATCTGAAATAAAAAATGGGGGTCACCATTCTCGRTTTTGATTTATCTTGAAAAAACATCTCMAAATAGTYGAAAACTGACACTTTTCCGAGTGGAGACTGGGGCGAGTCAAATAAAAATCGTAATTTCTCTACTCAAAAAAAGATTAAAAAAGTGAAAAWTGGTTTTGAACATGTTYSTTATTTAGTTTCCGAAAGAAAAATGCGTTAACTTTTTTAGTTSCATGCTTTTAGCTGCACGCGCAGAGAAATGCGYAGTGCAAAACAAGGGAATTTTGATAGTTTTGGGTTAGCTGTGGCATTCCCATGGTGCAGCTGTGTCGTATTAATATATTGCGCTCTTTCCATCACGTGTTTTTCCTTCAATACTTTCAACATGGCGGACGGTGTGGCTTATCAATCAGTTCCTCCACCTTCGGGCTCTTCTGAAGCTAGCACAGCCTTTGCTGATGCTTTAAAACGAGCAAAAGAGGTAAATCGAAGATATATGAACCTACTCAAGTCATTTTTATACTAAATAGACCATGTTTTCACCTTCAGATCGCCGCTCGAATGGGAACGGCGCCTCAAGGTAGTGACGGATCTTCAAACGTTCCTTATCAAGAAACTCCCGGTAATGTCTTTTTWAATCCTTCTTTCTTCATCGATATATTGTCCCATTGGCTTTCAGAAGTATAGATACATAAAACTAAACTTAATTATGCTTTTTCCTTTGATTTTTTAGCTGACCAAGTTAGAAAAAGACCTTATTCAGACGAAGGTAAAGTCRTAAAAACCATTCATCTCTTCAGCTGTCGCTACTCGAGATTTTGACACGACGTTAAAACTTTGACTACAAAAATAACATGTTTTTCTTGGATTTTTTTAAAGGAGAAGAGCCACAACCAAAGAAAATGTTATCGGAGGGTAAGTCAGACCAAATATAAAGGGGTTTAGTCATAAACAAAAAGGTTTTTCTCATTTATTTGATCAAATCTCGACGATGATCTGCATAATTACCTCATTTTGGAGATTGAGTAGAACAAAAACTATCCTCGCTTTCAAAGTTAAAAAACAAATGTTCGGACCAAAAACTTATTCCAAAGAAACTTTTCCTAAAAGTGATGACTTTTGAAGCTTCCTTTTAGAGAAAATCTTGTCTCAAAGCTTCATACTACTGTTCAAAAATTTTGAATTTTTTGACCAAAGATGCTAAGAATATTTCTTATGAATAATTTGAACCAAATCAAAAAATATATATTTTGATCAAATCTTTGAAATATTTGTATTCTGTTCTAAAATTCTTGTAACAAGAATGTCTAAAAGAAAAATTTTCCAAGATTGGTTTGATTTTTTATTTATAGGACTTTGATTCTTATGGAATAATTAAATGAAAAAAAATAAAATAAAAACTAGTTTGTTTTGTTTTTCCCATAGGTGGTATGCCATTAATGGATGGTAAAGAYCCTAAATCTATCGCTTTACAAGTAGCTGCAAGTATTGCTCAAAGGTTAGTACGATTTTTTAAAACCATTTTTTGCGTTAGAACATAATATTTGTCAGAGAGTAGAAAAATTAAGAAAGTTGGTATTCAAAAATTGAAGAGAAAATGATTTGTGGTTTCCTGTGAGAAAACAATGTATAACTATTTTATCTCACACCACTGAAAATACTTAGGCCACAATGCCCGATGTGAAGGAACAGTTGAATACTACTGAATATACAACATCTTTTTGTCATTCTGATTGGCTGTATGTTCAGTGGTTTTGTCAAAAAGTGGATAGCTTTTTTGAGATGAACTGGTGATGTTATGTTTAGCATTTCCTGTTTAATAACATTCTTATGTTGTTTTTTTCACGATAGGGCTGGCCTTGGTTCCATGCTGACAGAAGAACTTAAAATCCCAAATAAATTTGTTGGTTTAGGTAAGAATTTACATCATTTTCTAAAATATACATTATACAGGACTCGAAATAAAAAAAATTGTAGCTTGCCATAGTAAAGGAGCATGCTAAAAGGAGTTCATTCCAGTAAATTTTGCATGCCATTTTATTATTCATTTGGCAGTGCATCGTTATTTTCACCTGCAAAACTTGAACTTTGGCCTGTCATTTGGCCATTGGCAGGCCGCTATTTCAAGCCCTGCTATATTTGAACCAAGTTGGTTAAATATGGATGATAAAAAGTTAGTTTGGTTAGYGTGGATTTAATGGATTATTTTGATGATACGGTGGCCGTCTTGGATTGCAAGGGCATCCAGGTGGCAAATAAAGCTTTGTTGCAGTAACAGCATCAATTGATATTAACAGCTCACCACAAGAATGTATGATAAAAAGTTGAATAAAGACAGAACATCAATCTTCTTTACCCATAAAAGGAAGACAAACACATGAAACTCTATAAATTTTCTGTTATCTTTAAAGAGTTTTAGATTGACTTTTTTTCTCACTGCAAACAGCAAACGTGACCACGCTTTTTTATCATTTTCCTGTATTTAACTTTATCTTTTGCAAACTTTCTTAACACACACAAATATTCTTCTGTATCTTCTACTTCCTGGATATTTTTGCAATTCCTTTTCAGTAATTCAAAATATKYTTKSWCWRSTSAMSTKWCRYKT